GAGCTATGGTGTAAGATGTAGAGTATGGACATATAATCTCACTCATATGTGGAACTTAAGAAACAAAATAGTTGAACATAGGGGGATAAAAGAGAGAGGAAAACCATAAACATACTCTTAACTATAGAGAACAAACTGATGGTTGCTGGAGGGGAAGTGGGCAGGGGAAGGGATGGGTTAAATGGGTGATGGGTATTAAGGAGGGCACTTACCATGATCACTGGGTTTTGTATGTTAAGTGATGAATCCCTAAATCCTACACCTGAACCTAATATTACACTGTATGTTAACTAACTAGAATTTAAATAAAAACTTGAAAGGAGAGAAAAAGATGTAGGGTATAGTCTAGCAATGGATATACTTCCATTTTTTTATAGGGGACCCTAGGCTGGGAGAGGACTTAGAGCAGAGGTCAAGAGTGACAAAGTGATGAAGGAGACTGGCCCCTAAATTCCATTTTGCAAATAGATTTTGAGGGATTTAAAAAAAAAATTTTACTTTTTTTGGGTGTTAAGGTACCAATCTTTTGACACAGCATTATTTACATCTATATTTTGGATCTAGAAGTTAGCTTTATGGTGAGATATTAAAGGGAGGTTTTCTAAGGAGGCACCAAAGGACTAGAGGTGGAGGACTGTGGTGCATTTGGGGGAAAACCATAAAAAGCTTTTTGGACCCTATAAGCAGCTGACCTGGATTTTTGGACTAAATTTCCAAGTACTAATCTTAAAATGAGGATTATATATATATTTTCCTATTCATTTTTCCCAAGGCACTTGGCCTAAAGGCCATAATGAAGAACTACTGAAAGTAGCTGAATGAGAATGTAGGTCAGGTGCTTTGGGAGATTTCAAATATATATACATCACATTATGTTTATATATAGAGAGAACACATATATGTATATTTATATACTTAAATACACATCATACTTGCTGTTATGGGTTAATTATCCTTATACAGAGAGAGCTAACCATTGAATCTTGTAACAACATTAGACATAATTTAAACAAATAGTATTTCTAGGGTCTGTGCTAATTGGTGGAGGGAATGGGGAGTAGGAAAGGAGAAAGAAGAAAATGAATAGCTGGTCACTATGGTTAGTGTTACTGCACCTTACATGCAAGAGCCGCAGCTGAGCTCACTTGGCTGGTCCTCTGCACAGCCCTAAATCCATCCCAGCAAAACCAATCTCAGAGCAATGCAACCCAAACATCCAATGGCCCTCCTGATGTCACTGGATGCCACGCTACCTGTCATCATATTCCACATTCTCGTCTGTTGCTAGGTACCCTGGACATTCTTAATTTCCAGAGCTCTAGGTGCCGTTTTCTCCTTGGTCCTCAAACACAGAGTTTTTAGTTCCGATGCCATGGTACCCAGGCTGACACTTGAGAGAAGCACCAGCGTTCTGGGCCTGTGAACCTGAAGGCCATAACTACAGATCTCAACACTGTATCTTTTGTGTAGCAGCTTGGTACCCACACGCCAGCAGCCACTTAGGATGGAGCAAATTATCTTGGGTAAGGAAGCAGATTTCCCCTTTAATGCAATAAACTGATATGAGTTGGTTATGATAAATAGGAGTCTGAGATATGTGGTTTCAAATGCTGAAAAAGTATCCTTAAAGAAGAGAAAATAAAAATCGTTAACATGGTTACAAGAAACCAGACAATAAAAAATGGTTAATTTAGCTTCAGTTTAGTGTCTGCTCACTCTTTATATTGAATTTTTCTAATATAGATATCAAAAACTTTGTTTTAAATTTTGATTTATAAGATAGTGGCATGTGACATTACTGGTTCTTTTACTATTTAAATGATAAAATGTGTGAATATATATTTTATACAAATAAGTAAATCATTCATTTGTTCTTCATAAAACATACTGATTTACTCATGAATGAAATATGGAAAGCTGTGGAATTTAGTTACCTTGGTAACATCTGGAGTGAACTACTCTGTCTAAAAATATTTTCTCTTTTATTGTTTATACTTTATACCAAAATTATAAATACATGACTTTTATTAAAGATTCTCCTGATAGGTAATAATGTTTATTTTATTTAAAATGTGAATAAATGGTACACTAGTTACTAAATATGTATGACGATTTCAGACTAAAGATACAGATATACTATTTTAATTTTTAACTATAAAAGATATTGGATTTGTTTTATGCTAGTATTTATTTTATTTTACTTTTTAAAAAAATTATTTATTTATTTACTTATTTATTTAAGAGAGAGATAGAGCGAGCAAGAGAGCACAAACGGGAGAGGAGCAGAGAGAGAGGGAGAAGCAGGCTCCCTGTTAGGGAGCCTGACAGAGAAATCGGGCTCGATCCTAGGACCCTGAGATCATGACCTGAGCCAAAGGTAGATGCTTAACTGACCGAACCACTCAGTAAAATGTAATATACCTTTAGGGTTATTCATTCTTTTAACATATTGATAAAATTTTCTTACATAAAATATTTAGCATTTTTTAAAAATTCTAGTACACAAATGTTAAATCACACTTTTCTTCATGAATTTAATAATTGGACTGGAATGTATCCATTATGCTTTTCTTTGGACTTTTGTGGAAAGAAAGAAATAATCAGAAATGACCTTGCATACTTTAGCTTTGGATTTGACTTCACATAAAGGACATGCACAATTTTCTGAATTACTTACGTAAATTATTCCCCTAATTCTTTATTTCAAAAACCTTATATATTTCATAATTAAAAGAATGTTTTTGATTTCTCAATAGCTATGGAAAGTGCTATGTCATATTATTTATGACTGGGTTTCCCTAAATTCTCTTATGTTTGCTTTCTTTCCACATGAAGTCTTTTGTTGAATGGGATGTAAAAGGAGTAATTTATTAGTAGAATCTTGCCATTTGAATATGTTTTAACTTTTTCACAAAATAGTTTTAAAATATTGTTTTTAAAATTTAAGTTTTTAAAATATTATTTTGCTGAAAATTAAGCTTAATGCCCTTTGTTTTTATTTTCCACTGGAGCTGGAGATCTGGGCTTCCTCCTGGACCCTCGTCTGTCCTACTCTCAGTCTTTACCTGTTCTTTTCTTATGATTATTCTAGTCCCCGCTTGTTCTACACTATTGTTGCTTTAGTTTGGGCTTTCAACAATGCTGATTCAGATGGCTTCTAGAACTCTTAACGGTTTTCCATTTTGTCACCATCATCCCAAACTCCTCATAAGAGTCAGAGTAATCTCCTTAAAAGATTTTTTTTTTTATATCACCTCCAACAATAAAATTGCTCCTATTTGCTCCCAAGGTCCAAGCCAAGCTCTTGATTATACAAAGCACATCCTCTGCCTCCGTATCTAGGTTTCCCTTTCTGACTGTTTTGTTTGCACTCAACACCCCAACCTTATTTCTCATCTGCCCTGCACATTCTGTCCTCGAAGATATTGCACCTACTGATCTCTAGGTTGCAAACGCTGTCCGTCAACTTCTTCACCTGGTTAAGGCCTACTCATCTTTTGAAATTCAGCTCATATGCCACCTTCTTTAGGAAAAGTTCTGTGGTGTCCTTACCCCCTTGTTTTGAATCAAAGCCTTTTTCCTCTGCATTTTAGTTGCATGTTTTTTTTTTTTCATGTCTTTTAATTATTTGTGAACTCATTGAAGGCAGAGTCTCTGTTGGCCAAATTATTTAACCCCCTTCTGGCCAAGTGTAGGTATTCAATAAATGTTGAATAAATGAATGAACAGGTGAATGATACCACTCCTTCAGAATTTAAATATTATTTTCATGAATTTAATTGATTAGAAGGCATTAAATATTTCATTGCATCCTACAAAAATAAAGCAAACTTGAGAATGTTCAGAAATCAAAATATTACTCTTGCGCACTCATATTTATATGGCTTCATCAATAACCCTTAATTAAAGGAAACAATTGAACACCTTCGTCCTTCATAATCCTTTAAAATTAATATAAAAATGAAATTAAGAGAAATAGAATTTTATTGTTTCATGTAAATTTTGTTTCTTACTCTAATTGTTATTGGTGTGTATTTCTAAACAAGCTTATCATTTATTTTAAAGCCAGAAAATTTTGACTAATTTTGTTTCTTCTCTTCCCTGTTTTGCTTTTTATTTATTTATGTCTTTATTCCTACAGTTATTTTATTTTTGTTATTAGAAAATTATATATGTTGTAAATAATAAAGAATATTTAAAAATCTAGTGCCATTCCAGTTAAGAAGAAATTAATATTAACATTTTAGCCTACATTATTTTCACTCTTCTCCCTCTATATGGGTATGTGTTTTCTTTTTAGAAAATTGGGATCATTTGACCATTTTTGTAGCTAGCTTTTTCCATTTAACACTTCACACTTCCCATTAATATTAATGGAAAAATATTCCACATTTCCCATATTCTAATCATTCCAACATGTATTGAGCCAATTTTTTATTTTTGGTAATTTCTGTCACTTCTGGATGTTTGCTATTATAAACAACTCTGATATAAAGGCCTTTTTACCTACACAGAAATGCACACAGTGAAGTCCCAGAAGTGTAATGACTGGAGCAAAGGTTAGGAGCGCTTTTAATGTTTTAGATGCATATTAAACACTCATAAAGCTTGAACCAACATACACCCCACTAGCAGGATAAACAATGCTTTTATCAGAGAATTTTCACCAAATCTGCATATTCTCACTAGAAAAACAAACTCTATGCAAATTAATTTACAAGTTTTCTTTGTTTCAATTTGCTTTTCTTTGAGATCGCATTTGAGATTGGACTGTTTTCCCTCTTTTATCTTCTTCTTATCATTTTGCTTCATTTCTTGTGCCTAAAGGTGCCTACTAGATTACAAATAACGACTGCTTCACAAGTTTATTTGTAGGGATAAATTACACAGGAGATGTAAAATTACCACAATGCCAAGTACATAATAGGAGCTCAGTAAATGTTAGTTGAAGTAGAAACTGAATGGCACATTAATTAAAATCACACTATTCTTTCCAACAGATGATTCTGCTGCGGAGAGCTTTAACGGCAATGAGACTCTGGGGCACAGTTCAGTTGCTTCCGGGGGAACACACAACAGGGAGATGGGTGACTCCAATGGTGATGGCAAAACTGGGCTGGGGCAGGAGGAGCAGCCTCTGAACCTGAGTGACAGTCCCCTCTCAGCACAGCTGACTTCGGAATACACAATAGATGACCACAGCAGTAATGGAAAAAACAAATATAAGAATCTCCTAATTTCGGACCTCAAGATGGAACGAGAGGCAAGGGAGAATGGAAGCAAGGTAAGGTCACGTTACAATTTTCAGCGTTTCTAAGTTCGTCATGAAGGTCATAAAGAAATCCATATTTATACGAGAGATGAAGATTGTTGTTGCTAAAACCATTTTAAACAAATCTCAGTAATACGTTGCTAAGAGATTTATAACCATAGATATCCTGTGTCCATATAAGCAATAATTTTCAGGAATAACAGTGAGCAAAATGGATAGTATTTCAGACAAGGCTGTTGGTATGTGGGGTTTTTTAAATTTAAATTCAATTAGCCAGCTATAGCACATCATTAGTTTCAGATGTAGACTTCAGTAATTCATCAGTTGCATGTAACACCCAGTGCTCACCACATCACATGCCCTTCACATTTGTGTGTTTTTATACATGAAATCACTTGATGTAATGTTTCTCCTTCATATAATTTTCTTATGGGTCTGTCTCTGGGAGTTTGTTGAGCTCAGTTGTGAAAGTTTAGCTTTCAGAACACAATTATGGACTCTAAAAAGATCACTATCTAGTTTCTCCTAGACTGAATAGGTGTACGCCATAATAAAGTTTCAATTACACTCTCAAGTTTGCTTTAGAGACCCAGGGACTTTGGTCAATAATTTACTTCCCATACGTGGGAGAAATATGTCAGTGTTCTAGATGAAGCTTGCAGATTAAATAACTGCTGGAACAAGTAATTTATCACAAACTGTATCCTACAAAAGACCGAAACGTGTTTCAGACATATCTAAATTTCTAGATTCTTTATATTAGAATAAATTACAATCCTCCCCATTCCCAATTGATTTATTTATTTTTTTAATTTTTATTTTTTGGTCCTTCTGTTTTGATTTCTATCTCTTCACACCCATTTTCAGAAATACTGCCAATTCTTTTTTTGTTTGTTTTTATTTAAATTCTAATTAACATACAGTGTAATATAGTTTCAGGTGTACAATGTAGTGATTAAACACTTCCATGCAACACCTGGTGCTCATCACAAGTGCACTCCTTAATCCCCATCACCTATTTAATCCATTCCCCACCCATCTCCCTTCTGGTAACCATCAGTTTGTCCCATTTGATTTCTTAAAAAAAAAAAAAAAATTAACTTCAGATTTCTATCAGTTTGAAATAATGCATGCTGGTGATTTTTGTTCTGTAATTTTTGAATGTATACTTTGGAACACAGAAAGCTTTTTATGGAATACACATTTTGACTCCTTCCTCCCACCCCTCCTCCACTTCTAAATTAGAATTGAAGAACTGATCTTTTGACATAGATCTTAAAGCAAAATGTCTTAATTTGAATTAATTTCTGAATTTGCTGAGGCACCATACTTCCTAAATTGGCTCTATTTAAATCCTCTTGCTTGCCTGAGGGTATGTTGTTTTATCCTCTTTTAAGCAAGTCACTGACATCATCAGACACTTAAGCATTTCTGCCTGAGGGAGGCTGCTACAACTTTTGCTGGGGTAAATGCGCAAATATTCTCTCCAGTGGTTTAAAGCCAAATCACACAAGCACAAATGAGTTTGTATTCACTAACATGATCTGAATCAAGGTTGCATTTTACAGAACAAAATAACCTTTAAGTGCTCTGGCCATCTACATTGTCTGTCTGGTCTTTATAAACATCCTTTTTATGCCATGTATCTGTTGAGTATTTTTCTCAAATTATTCAGTGGTTTGCTCTTCTCTTCTATATCCCTGTATTCATTATAATGATAGGAACTATGCTCATTTGAAACACACTGTTGCACATTTTAAACAAAGTGAAGTTACTTTTCCACTCTCTAAGACGAAGTTGTAAAAAGCACAGATTGAATTTGGGCTATATGTGAAGAGTAAGATGAGAAATGGACCCGGGGAGGAGACATACCTGAGGAACCAAATATTTAATGGTTTGGTAAAGGAAGGACAGCTGTATGTGAAAGTAGCCAGAGATACAGAAGAAAAATCAGAAGGGCATAGTGTATGGAAGCTAAGTGTAGTCTACCTTTCAAGAGAGTGGTCTGCTCTGATGGACCAATGCTGATATACCAAGTAAGACAAAAATAGAAAATAGTTACGTCTGTGAGAGTAGTTTTAGAACACTTTGGGAGCAGAATCCAGAGTGATTCTTTATTCATTCCTTCAAGGATAACAGAATAAAAGAATATATTCAATATCTGCCATACTTGCACTCATGAAGTAGCAGAGACAACTCAGAGAGGAGTCTTTATTCATAAGACCTTTGAGAAATTGTTTTGGTAAAAAGGGGTACATATACATAGAAAAGTTTCTTAGTAAGAGTATAGGCAAATACTCATCTCTGTGTTAAAACCCTGGGAGTTCAAAGTAAGAAAATACTACTTCTATTGAAGTAATAAAGAGGGCTTCCCTAGAGGAAGTGAGTCTTGAACTTTGAAGGAAATATAAGATTACCATTTTTTCAGAAGGGCTCTCCTGTTGGACATTGTGAAGGGCCTGGAATGCACAGGGAAGATGAGTTGGTCTCATAGGTTAGGGAACCATTGTCTCTTTGGAGCTAGGTAGGACTTCATAACACGATGTTTGAGGAAGAACCCAGTATCATTATGCAAGATAGACTCTTTGCCACCAATTAATTTATTCACTGAATATTTACTGAAGGACTCCTACATGCAAGGCACTGTTGTAGAAAGCAAAAACATGGAAATGAGCAAACTAGGGGCTCAGCCCCTCAAAAGTTTAAAGTCTAGCAGGAAAGAAAGGCAAATCCATGATTATAATCTGATTCCATAAGTAATATGATGGGCAAATGGCAAGGTGAAATGAGAAAAGAAAGGTGGGGCACCCATGGGACTATAATGATTTTTAAGGAAGATTTTATAGAGAGATGAATGCCAGCATGAATGTGAAGTGTACGTAGAAGTTATTCAGTTGGAGAGGATTATTTATGGTAGAGCATGTGTAGAGGCATGGAGCCACGAGAGAGCATACTTGGCATGGAGATTTGCAAGGATCTTAGCATGGCCACAGCAGAGAATATGGTGGAGAAATGGAGTACAGAGAGGTTCCATCAGCAAAGTCTTCATGGGCCAGTTCAAGGATTTATGATTGTATCCCATAGCCAAGTTGAGCGTGATAAAGTTGTGGTCAGCTTGCAATTTTAGAAAGATTATCCTGGCTACATCAGATCAGATAAATAGGATAGGGACTAGGAAATAAAAAAGACAGAAAACTGGTTAGAGAGCTATTATGGCATTCCAGGAAGAAAATAATGCAGGAATACAAAATAAAATGAACATATTACTTTTGCTCTTTTGATATTGTATTTGTGGGATATATAGCTCGAGAGATTTTATATTGCCGAACTCCTAGGAATGTTTTTCACATACACTACAGTGTGAAAAACCTCTTTATACATCCCATTAGGATGTAAATTCTATGAGTATGGGAATGATATCTACCTTGCTTACTGAGGTATGTCTAGCACCTGGCTTAATATCTGGTACATAGTAGGTTCTCAAATATTTTGAAGAAATAAAGTTTTATCAAATATGGGAAGTGAAGCAGAGAACATTCATGAATGACTCCGGCCTTATTGGCTTGATTGACTAGGTGGATGGTAACACCATTTTCCAAGATTCAGAATGAGAAACATTTGAAGAAGTGCTTTTTTGATACATAAGGTTAACCGTGCCTATGGAGTATCCACGGGATATGTTTAATAGGCATCAGGGATACATGTTTCAGCTCAGAAGAAATGTCCAGATTGGAGAAAGAAACATGTGAAAGGTTTAGAAGTGCAGCCTAAAGCTCTTGTGGTTGATGAGATCACCTCAGAAGAGCATAGACTGAGGAGACAAGAGTCAAAATATATCATCCTACAGAAGAATATCGGCCCATCAAGAACAGGTGGCATAAAAGGAGTTTGTGGAGGGGAAAAAAAAAAAAAAGGAAGAAGAAAATGAAGGCAACCAGATAAGGAGATGTTTTAGAAGCCAAAGTGTGGGGCATTTCGAAACTGATGTGTAGTTAAATGGAGTAATCCTTAGGTGAAGTTACATAGGTCTAAACCCAGGCGATGGTTAGGAGAGTTAATGCTAAGTAAGAGTTGGAGTTAGAACACGTGGCAGAAGAAGGGGCAGAATTAGTGGGGAAGTGGATTGGAGACGGTTATAGAGGCTGGATAGGGAAGCTGAATCATCTTAATTGTGAAGGAGACTGTGTCTGGAATTTTGTTTTAGGGCTTCTTCTTGCAATGTGAATTTGTATGCAGAGAGCTCTGGGGTTCTTGGCTTTGGATCAATACTTGCTGTACCTGAGGCTGCCAGGTGAACTTCATACGAAAGGTTTAGCACTCATCTTTCACTTAGCACTACCTCTTGTAGTCCTTAGAAATGTTCCAACACTTATGTACAAATTTATAGAGTGACACTACCAATTTCTTCTTCCAGTATTGTTCAGGGTAGCCCCTGTAATAACTTGGAGAAATATAAAAGCTTAATTATATAGTATATTTGAAAAACTTAGATTTCTGTGGGTTTGATATTGACCTATTTCAAAATTTTATTGTGAATAATATCAAACAAAAATGATTATAAAGCATTTAAATCTGAACAGTGAATAGAAATGCTTAAAAAGAATAGCTCAGCTGGACTATGCCATTTACCGATTGCTTGTTATTATGCAAATTCACTCACTAGACCAGTGAATCATATTAATCAATCTAAAGAATAAATATATTGCATTGAAAGAGCTTAGGTGATATTTATTTTCTGCTTGAAGATGGCCACATTTTTAGAGGACAACTAGTAACATTAGAAATCAGAAGAAAGTAGAAATATTGATTAAAAGCTTAGAAAATGAGACTCCTGAGTAAGTGTAAAGGAACAAGTTATATAGGAAAAGAAAGGTTAAGAAGACACAAATTTGGATATAAATATGTTTCAAATTAAGTGAGAATAAAAACAAAACAAAATCTAATAGAGGGAATTATGTAACTTAAAAACACTATCATTGATTTTTTTTTTCTTTTTGGTTTTCTCTTTTTCT